CTGCTGACGCGGCGAGTATAAACCAGGCTCTACACTATATAAGCGCTGCGCAGCTCAAACGAGTCGCGCGGTTTCGTTATGCTTTCAGTTTTGTTTGCCGTTTGATGTTTCTCACATGCAACAGAAATGCAGCGCTTATGAGTTAAACAATGCGGTGGTCGCGCCAGTGCGACCGCACACAAAATTTAGTCGCACCGGCAGAAACAATTATCGCAAAATGCGCCCATTTGATCGCACACTGGAGCCCTGTGCAGTACAGTATGTATTTATCCTCAGTTGTTTAAATCGCGGTAATCGAATACGGTTATAGTGATAATTAAAATATGAAACGGTAATACTAACCTTGGGGTATTTTATCACGATTAACCGTCAAACCGGTAATCGTTACATCCCTATTCAGTTGAAATTCTATTTCGGTTACTTGCCAAGGCAACATGTCAAATTTCTAATTTCATTGAATATTCATATTTTATTTCAGCTTTATTTATTTTTAATAGTTTTGGTTCAAGATAAAACTGGACACATTAATTTAGCTTAAATAATCACTAATTTGCATTCCCATGCACATCCACCATGATGTCATATATTATATATGATGCCATAAATTAATTCAAAAATCGATCTAAATTAAATAACACAATAAAGATATTAGCAACAAGTTACACTAGGTTATGTTTACTTCATTTGTATCTTTGTTCTACTATTATTAATTGTAACTTGTTTTTTTTTGTTCTTTATTGTCTTACTGACCTTTTTTTTTTTTTAATGATGCACTGATTACTTAAGTGACAGGTCCATTTAAATGTCATGTTGATGTTAATACTATTGCACTTTTTTAACAGTATAGCATCCTTAGTAGGGATGTAACGATTACCGGTTTGACGATAAATCGTGATAAAATACCCCAAGGTTAGTATTACCGTTTCAGCTTTTATTTATCACTATAACCGTATTCGATTACCGTGATTTGAACAACTGAGGATAAATACAAACCGTACTGCACAGGGCTCCAGTGTGCGACTAAATGGGCACATTTTGCGATAATTTTTTCTACCGGTGCGACTAAATTTTGTGTGCGGTCGCACTGGCGCGACCACCGCATTGTTTAACTCATAAGTGCTGCATTTCTGTTGCATGTGAGAAACATCAAACGGCAAACGAACCTGAAAGCATAACGAAACCGCGCGACTCGTTTGAGCTGCGCAGCGCAGCGCTTATATAGTGTAGAGCCTGGTTTATACTCACCGCGTCAGGAGCGCGAAGTTGCGTGCAGCAAAAATGACGCGAATATTGAGGAAACGATAGATGGGTTTCATGCTAAAGTAAAGTAAAAGACCGCAAAGGTGAACATATTGGTATTCTTGTGGGACAAAAAAATGCAAGCACTGTCACCGACAGCAAGTTCAGTTTTACTTTTCTTTTTGTTTTCATTTTGAAAAGCTTGTTATCTTTGCTGTTTACCTCACTTATTGTTGTTAATTAAGAATAACAATGAAGCCATCTTTTGTTTTAGTCTTAAAAAGTGAAAGGTGTGTAAGGTGTGTAGAAGTGTCACGCCCCTGGACTCTTTGTGTTGTGTTTTCCCTCCCCAGGTGTGC